TCCTTGCGTGGCTCCTATTCCTGGCCGGTCTTGGAAACGGGCCATTGCGACCTCTGGGATCCCTCGTTTGCCATAAGGAAACAGCCTAGTAGGGGTTCTCACGTGGATGATGGAAGGGGCACCCCAAAGGCCATCTAGCCTGACCTTATTATCCCATACACAATCAAAACCTTCCCAACAGATGCCCATCCGGCCTCTGTTTAAAGGACACCAGGCAAGGAACTCCAAAGGACCCCACAGTAGTCTGTATTCCACTAAAGTTGGAATGGGCACCTAAAGGCCATCTAGTCTGACCTTATACACAATCAAAACCCTCCTGACAGATGCTTATCTGGCCTCTGCTTAATGGATCCCAGGCAAGGAGACTCCAAAAAACTCCACAGTAGTCTGTATTCCACTAAAGTTGGAATGGGCACCTAAAGGCCATCTAGTCTGACCTTATACCATACAGGAAAACACAACACAATCAAAACCCTCCTGACAGATGCCTATCTGGCCTCTGCTTAATGGATCCCAGGCAAGGAGACTCCAAAAAACTCCACAGTAGTCTATATTCCACTAAAGTTGGAAGGGGCACCTAGAGGCCATTTAGTCTGACCTCACACTACCATGCAGGAAAGCACAATCAGAACCCTCCCAGTAGATGCCCATCTGGCCTCTGCTTCAAGGACACCAGGCAAGGAGAGACTCCAAAGGACACCCATATTTTATTAAAGTTGGAAGGGGCACCTAGAGGCCATCTAGTCTGACCCTTATTATACCATACAGGAAAACACAATCAAAACCCTCCCGACAGATGCCCATCTGGCCTCTGCTTAACGGGTCCCAGGCAAGAAGACTCCAAAGGACTCTACAGTAGTCTATATTCCACTAAAGTTGGAAGGGGGCACCTAGAGGCCATCTAGTCTGACCCCATCCTACCATGCAGGAAAGCACAATCAAAACCCTCCCAACAGATGCCCATCTGGCCTCTGCTTAACAGTTCCCAGGCAAGAAGACTCCAAAGGACTCCACAGTAGTCTATATTCCACTAAAGTTGGAAGGGGCACCCAAAGGCCATCTAGTCTGACCCCCACCCTACCATGCAGGAAAGCACAATCAAAACCGTCCCAACAGATGCCCATCCAGCTTCTGTTTAAAGAGACTCCAAAGGACATCCATATTTTATTAAAGTTGGAAGGGGCACCTAGAGGCCATCTAGTCTGACCTTATTACACCATACAGGAAAACACAATCAAAACTCTCCCAACAGATGCCCATCTGGCCTCTGTTTAAAGGACACCAGGCAAGGAGACTCCAAAGGACTCCACAGTAGTCTATATTCCACTAAAGTTGGAAGGGGCACCCAAAGGCCATCTAGTCTGACCTCATTCTACCATACAGGAAAACACAATCAAACCCCTCCCAATAGATGCCCATCCAGCTTCTGTTTAAAGGGCACCAGGCAAAGAGACTCCAAAAGACGCCCATATTTTATTAAAGTTGGAAGGGGCACCTAGAGGCCATCTAGTCTGACCTTATTACACCATACAGGATAACACAATCAAAACTCTCCCAACAGATGACCATCTGGCCTTTGCTTAATGGATCCCAGGCATGGGGAGTCCACAATAGTCCAATTCCACTAAAGTTGGAAGGGGCACCTAGAGGCCGTCTAGTCATTCTACCATGGAGGAAAACACAATCAAAACCCTCCCAACAGATGCCCATCCAGCTTCTGCTTAAAGGACACCAGGCAAAGAGACTCCAAAGGACACCCATATTTCACTAAAGTTGGAAGGGACTCCTAGAGGCCATCTAGTCTGACCTTATTCTGCCATAAATAAATACCTAATTCAAACCGTCCCAAAAGATGGCCATGCAGCCTCTGCTTAAAGGGCTCCAGGAGAAGGAGACTCTTCTAGACTCCCAGGCAGTCTATATTGTACACATGCTAGAAGGGACTATTCTGCCATGCAGGGAAACACAATCAAAACGCTCCCAATAGATGCCCATCCAGCCTCTGCTTAAAAGGCACCAGGCAAGGAGAAACTTCAAAGGACACCCATATCTCATTAAAGTTGGAAGGGGTACCCAAAGGCCATTTAGCCTGACCTTATTCTGCCATGCAGGAAAACACAATCGAAGGGCTCCAGACAAGAAAACTTCAAAGGACTCCCAAAGTAGTTGATATTCCACTAATGTTTGAAGGGGCACCCAAAGGTCATCTAGTCTGACCTTATACTGCCATGCATGTAAACACAATACGTTATTATTATTATTATTATATTATTTATACCCCACTTTATCTCTCCCGAAGGAGACTCGAAGCAGCTCAACATAAAAGCATTTGCAGACAATTATTATTCTTAATTATTATTTATTAATATTTATTATTTATATTATAATCTTATAAATAATTATATTATAATATTATATATTATCATATTTGTTTATACTTCGCTTTCTCTCTCCTGAAGGAGCACCCAAAGGCTATCTAGTATGACCTTATACTGCCGTGCATGTAAACACAATATGTTATTATATTATTATTATTGCATACAATTATTATTATTATTTATATTATAATATTATAAACAATTGTATTATTATATTACATATTTATTATTATATTTATTTATACTTAATAATATATATTTATTATTATATTTATACTTCGCTTTCTTTCTCCTGAAGGAGCACCCAAAGATAATCTAGTCTGACCTTATACTGCCCTGCATGAAAACACAATCAAAACCCTCCCAACAGGTGCCCATCTGGCCTCTGCTTAAAGGGCTCAAGGAAAATAATACTATTATTATTATTATTATTATTATTATTATTATTATTATTATTATTATATATTATTATATTTATTTATACTTCGTTTTCTCTCTCCTGAAGGAGCACCCAACGGTCATCTAGTCTCACCTTATTCTGACATGCATGTAAACACAATACGTTATTATTATATTGTTATTTTTGCATACAATTACTATTATTATTTATATTATAATATTATAAATAATTGCATTATTATACTACATATGTATTATTATATTTATTTATACTTTGCTTTCTCTCTCCCAAAGGTCATCTAGTCTGACCTTCTACTGCCATGCATGAAAACACAATCAAAACCCTCCCAACAGGTGCCCATCTGGCCTCGGCTTAAGGTGCTCAAGGAAAATGATATTATTATTATTATTATTATTATTATTATAAATAATTATAGTATTTTATTATATATTTATTATATTTATACTTCGCTTTCTCTCTCCTGAAGGAGCACCCAAAGGTCATCTAGTCTGAGCTTATACTGCCATGCATGAAAACACAATCAAAACCCTCCCAACAGGTGCCCGTCTGGCCTCAGCTTAAAGGGCTCATGGAGAAGAAGACTTCTCTAGACTCCCAGACAGTCTATATTCCACTAAAGTCGAAAGGGACCCCTAAAGACCATCTAGTTTGACCTTATTCTGCCATGAAGGAATATGGCCTGGGCCAACTTTGGCCCTCCCGGTGTCTTGGACTTCAACTCCCACCATTTCTAACAGCCGGTAGGCTGTTAGGAATGGTGGGAGTTGAAGTCCAAGACACCGGGAGGGCCAAAGTTTGCCCAGTCCTGGTCTAGGCATTCTAATGTGGATGATGGGAGTTGTAATACAGACAAGAGTCCACTTGTTTCGTTTCTCTCTTGCTGCACATTGATCGTGTTTACATCCCTCTCCTTCCAGGAACTCTTTTGCTTAAACATTTCCAATAAACCCCTGCTTTTCAATTAATCCGCTAACGAGTTTCCGGGGCAACCGCCTGCCTCTCCAACTGGTTTGCAAAGAGCCCCGAGCAGATGTCCAGGCTGCAGATAGGGATCAAATCTCCGTCTATGGGAAAGCAGCACTTGCGTAACCCGGATAATAAAGCCATGAAATTCCAAAAATGTCAGCAAGTGTCCTATTGGTAGTAGGGAGGGGAACCCCAAAGGCCATGTAGTCAGACCCTCTTTGGCCACAGCTAAAGCACCCCCAAAAGACACCCATCCAGCCTGTGTTGAGAAGGTCTCCAGAGAAAGAAAGCCCATAATCCAACAAGAGTTGGAACGGGACCACAAAGGTCATCTAGTCTGACCTCTCCCCATTTTTGTGTGCCCACCCTTTTGCCTGCCCACCTGTGCCATGTGATCCCTTCAAACCAGTTCCCCAGGACTTTGAGACTGTCCATCCAGTTGCCCTTCCTTGCATGGTTTCCAACCTTTCCTGCATTGTTGTTGTTGTTATTAGTGATGATGACACATACCTGTAGTGGGTCTTGGCTTTCTCCTCGCACGCTTGTGATGCAAGCCCCTCTAACCAGATCACCAGGACTTTGCAAGGAAGAACAACTTTCAACCCAATTGTCCTTCCTTGCATACTTTCCAACCTTATTATTATTAATATTTATTATAATGATGCACACCTGTTGGAGGTTGTGGCTCTTGCCCTTTGCTCTGCGCACCTGTTCCATATGAACCCCTCTAACTAGACCACGAGGGCTTTGGAACTGTCCATCCAATTGTCCTTCCTTGCACTGTTTCCAACATTTCCTGCAGAATTATTATTATTATTATTATTATTGATGATGATAATGCTGCACACCTGTTGGAGGTCATGGCTCCTCCCTTTTTGCTGTTGACTCTGCTCACCTGTGCCATATGAGCCGGTCTAACCAGACCACCAAGGCTTTGGGACTGTCCATCCAGTTGCCCACCCTTGCACTGTTTCTGACCTTTCCTGCAGAATTATTATTAATGGTGATGATGGTGATGCACACCTGTTGTGGGTCTTGGCTCCTCCCCTTTTCCCTTGGCTCCTCCCACCCTCTAACTAGATAGAATAGGACTTTGTGACTGTCCATCCAGTTGTCCTTCCTTGCATGGTGTCCGACCTTTCCTGCAGAAATATTATTATTGATGATCATGATGATGATGATGCACACCTGTTGGAGCTCGTGGCTCCTCCCCTTTTGCTGTCGACGCTGCTCACCTGTGCCATGTGAGCCCCTCTAACCAGACCACCAGGGTTTTGGGACTGTCCATCCAGTTGTCCTTCCTTGCATGGTGTCCGACCTTTCCTGCAGAAATGCTATTATTATTAATGATGATGATGATGCACACCTGTTGGAGCTCCTGGCTCCTCCCCTTTTGCTGTTGACTCTGCTCACCTGTGCCATGTGAGCCCCTCTAACCAGACCACCAGGGTTTTGGGACTGTCCATCCAGTTGTCCTTCCTTGCATGGTGTCCGACCTTTCCTGCAGAAATGCTATTATTATTAATGATGATGATGATGCACACCTGTTGGAGCTCCTGGCTCCTCCCCTTTTGCTGTTGACTCTGCTCACCTGTGCCATGTGAGCCCCTCTAACCAGACCACCAGGGTTTTGGGACTGTCCATCCAGTTGTCCTTCCTTGCATGGTGTCCGACCTTTCCTGCAGAAATGCTATTATTATTAATGATGATGATGATGCACACCTGTTGGAGCTCCTGGCTCCTCCCCTTTTGCTGTTGACTCTGCTCACCTGTGCCATGTGAGCCCCTCTAACCAGACCACCAGGGCTTTGGGACTGTCCATCCAGTTGTCCTTCCTTGCATGGTGTCCAACCTTTCCTGCAGAATTATTATTATTAATGATGATGCACACCTGTCGGAGGTGATGGCTCCTCCCCTTTACTGATGACCCCTGTGTTTGTTTGCAGGGCGGGACCCCCCTGGCGGGACCCCCGCAGACGCTTGCTCAGCCTCAGGTTCCCCGTCCTTCTCGGAGGTGTGGCAGGTGAGCCTCCGCCCACGTGGCCTGGGCCACTCTCGCCACCTGGCCGGATCCTACCTGCTGTGCCTGGCGGAGCGGACGGTCAGCTTCCTGCGGCTGAGCTCCCCGGAGGCTGAGGCGGGGTCAACGGCGGGGTCCGGCCCCTCCTTGGTGCTGCAGCTGCTGAGCGTCCGGCGTTGCGGCCACTCGGAGAACTACTTCTTTCTGGAGGTGGGCCGCTCGGCCGCCACGGGTCCCGGGGAGCTCTGGATGCAGGTGGAGGATGCGGTGGAAGCCCAGAAGATGCACGAGACCATCCTGGAGGCCATGAAGGCCCTCAGCGACGAAGTCCGGATACGCGGCAGCACCGCCGGCACGGCCGGCCCCAAAGCCTTGACCTCCAGCCCCATCTTGGTGCCCCCCCGGACCCCCAAAGCCGGCCAGGGGTCTCCCTCCGTGGGTCCGAACATTGCTCCAGCCCTCTTGACCCGGAAGCCCAGTTCCCTGAGCGACTACAGCGCCGTCTCCTCGGACGAAGGGGGGTGCAGTCCATGCGAGGCACAGCCCCCCAGGACCCCAGACCCCCTCGTAGTGGTGGGCTATATCGGCATGGCAAAGCGGAGGGACACTCGCGGTCAGTGGGGGTCACGGTCTGAGAGCAATACGCGGGACCCTCTTTCCGAGCTGGACTACATCGCCATGGGCAAGCCGGACCTTGGCAGCGGTCAGCGCTTGGTCAGATCTGTGTCCGAGAACAACAAGCGGGACCCCCTTTCCGATTTGGACTACACTGCCATGGGCAAAGCGGGCGTTGGTAATGGTCAACACTTCAAAGTCCAGTGGGCATCGGGAAATAACATGCATGACCCTCTTTGCGAGCTGGACTACATTGCCATGGCGAGACTGACCGCTTCTAACGGTCACCACATGACTCGGTGGTCGTCGGGCAGCAAGCGTGCTTCTTTGCCCCCTTTAGCCTTTGAGAAGGGCACCCCCAATTTGCCGCGGCGCAATACGGCTTCGTCCGCGACGGGTTCGGCCAGCTACCCCGAAGGGCTCAACATCTACGGCTACATGGCCATGCTGCCCGGAGGAGTGACCACCGCCGAGGATTACGTCCCCATGACCCCTGGGAGCCTCTCGCCGACACAGGAAAGCAGCGGTGGCTACATGGTGATGACCCCCAAAGGGAGCTGCTCTCCGGACAGGACTGGACACTGGGGCAAAGCGGCGGGGGGCGACTACGTTAACATGTCCCCCTCGGGGGCCCCCTTCTACTCCTTGCCGCGGTCCTACAGGCCGTGCCCCTTCATCCCAAGCCGGTTCTCGGGGTCGTCTTCCACCAGCTCTGAAAGCCTAGAAGGGGGGGCCCTTGTCAGCCCCTTCGCGGACCCCCCTCAAAACGCCGGGGAATACGTCAGCATCGAGTACCCTGCCGGTAGCATTGCAAGTTACATCACAATGGACCCCGAAAACAAGGATGGCGATGGGAACCGTGCAAGGGGAGCATCTAGATGGTCTCAAGGGGGTCCCGAAAGTGGAGACCCCCCATCACAGCCCTCGGACGAGGCCGGCATGGACCTCAACTACATCGACTTGGACCTGGTCAAGGAGGCGGTCAGCGCCAGCCCTGCGGAGGAGGCCGCCTCGGGGCAGTTGCTGCTCCACGCCTACGCCAGCATCGACTTCCACCGCTCCGGAGGCTTCCGGGGAAACCGGGCCACGAAATTCCCGGGAAAGG